GGACATCTCTCTTTGTACCCTACAAACCCCCAACTGCTCTTTCTCTGTTCCACTGTCCTCATACTCCTGCTGTCCTGCCCCTTCCCTTTCCTTCTTAATATGTCAAAGATCCCTGGGTTTTTCTAGGCCCAGATGTGTAGTCAAGGGGAAGGTTTAGAGGGGCTCACCTTGTATCAGGCCTGGCAGCAGCAGGCAGGTGAAGAGCAGCCTTGAGAAGCTCAGGGACATCATGGCAGATAGCATCACTTTTGATTCTGGGGAAGAGAGAAGAGAAATCTGATCCCCCTGTCATGTCCCACCCAAGGATCATAGAGGGATGGGGACAAGGATGGTGGCCTAGACCACAATAGACCCAGGGAGCTGCTGTTCTACTGCTCTCTGGGCCCAGGCTGGGACTATGTTCCCTACTCTCTCCTTCCTCTTCTCCCCTTTCTAGGGTCTGAGGGAATCTGCAGACCCTAGGTAAGAGACAGAATCTGGGTGCAACTGATGGAATGGACCATTGAGCAAAGACCACTTCCTCTTTCAGAGTTGTTTAGATATGACTGTCTACCGGCATCTCTCTCCAAGATACCTAGTGGATGCCTCCTCCTTCCACCTAGGAAGATAATGGGCTCAAGAGACTGGAGGGACCCAACCTCCCACACTTTCCCTCACTTACCAGATTGTCAGGACTAAGGGATAGTGTATCTGATCAGAAAGTGACAGAACCTTTATAGAGAGAGGGCCCAAAGGGGTGTAGACATTGGCAGGGGTGGGAGAGGAGGTAACTAGGCAGAGGTGGGGGAATGGAGTGAAGGTCAGAGCACAGGTGTTGATAAGGAGATTCCTGGAAGGGGGTGTAGTCTTCCTCATTCTGGCTCCAAGAGCAGGCATGAGCCTTGCTTTCTTCCCGGAACATGAAGGAGCGACAAAGACTGGTTCCTTCCCCTCAGCATGCCAGCTGCCTTGTTCCCATAGCCATGGGAAATCTAGGTGAAGGTTGGTGATTAGAGGAAGAGGAAATACACATCAGAACAAGTGAGCTTCCTGAAGGACTTGGATGAAGGAGACTAGAATCCAGGGAAGTTATGGGGTCATAGACCTTGGCCCTGGAGAAGGAGGGAATTCCAGTTAATGGACCCAAGGACCTTGACTGGACCCTCTGTCTTCCTGTTAATTACTGGAATTCCCTGGACAAGAAAGAAAATCGTCAGGCTCTTAGAAAGGGCCTCTCAGTGATCACTGGCACATTTTCTAGAGTTGATTTGGGGTTTCATTGACATAGTCCACAAAGAACCAAGTTCCCTGCTGCTGCTTCTAGCACAACTTTGCCCCCAAAGGGGAGAGACAAAAGGACATAGGCAAGGCCAAGCGGAAGATCTCCCAAGATCACCAAAAAAAGAAAAATCAATCCCAAGTCTCCTAGGCCTTCAGGCTACAGCATCCCTCTGCCACCTGCCTACTCCTGGCAATTACCTCCCTCTCTTTTAGAAGAGTCTCTACTAGAGGTTTAAAATGTTTTCTCATCAGTAGGACTTGGGTAGTTGGAAATCCATTTGATTCCTCCTCATTAACAACTTTGGAGCCCACTGACAGGCCCTTGAGGTACCCAGTGAGTGATTCAAAGATGGCCCTACTGAGGACATAGTCTAGTTTAAATGCCAATGTCTCTCTCCAGTATGGTTCCCAGAGCAGCCCAGAAGACCCTGGACAGGATGTAAGCAATCCTATGGTCCTTGGTGCCATCGCTTCTTTCATTCTGGACACTTGACTTCCCAATCCAGGGTGCTTAGATCTGGCCTGCAATGTTGTAATGACCTGCTCTTTGGTTGGCCTGCCTTTCATCTCTCCCCATTCCAATCTCTCCTCCATTTAGCCACAAATAATCTGATTTTCCTAAAACTCAGATCTTTCCATGTCACATCCCTTCTTAATAACCTCCAGAGCTTCCCATCATCTCCAAGATCAAATACAAAATCCTCTGGTAGATGTTTCAAGCCTGTCCTCCTGCCTCTCCAGTACCTGCCCCTATGCTCTACATCAAGCAGTCTCTGGTCCAGTGACACTGCTCTCCTGCCTGATCCAACAACAAAACACTCTATCTCTAGGCTCCAGGTATCTTCTCTGGCTGGCCGTCACACCTGGAGTGTTCTCTCTCCTAGTCCCAACCTAGTGATTTCCCTGGCTTCCTTTAAGCCACGGTGAAAAGCCTCAGGAAGTCTTTCCCACACCTTCTTTTTTTTTGGTGTTTTTTTGTTTGTTTGTTTGTTTTTGGCTAGGCAATGGGGTTAAGTGACTTGCCCAAAGTCACATAGCTAGTAAGTGTTATGTGTCTGAGGCCGGATTTGAACTCAGGTCCTCCTGACTCCAGGGTGGTACTCTATCCACTGTGCCACCTAACTGCCCCTTTCCCACACCTTCTTACACCTGATGCCTTCCCTTTCTTGATTATTTCCTATCTATTTTGTAGATAGCATATTTGTACATTTTGTTTGCCTGTTATCATCTCCCACTAGACTGTAAGTTCCTGGAGGGCAGGGTCTGTCTTTTGCATCTTTTTGAATCCCTAGTTCTGAGCACAGTTCATAGAACATAGTCAGTCCTTAATAAATGTTAATTATTTGATTGACTGGCCATTCTGCAGCACCAGCTCCAGCCCCAGGATGGGAAGAAGAATCAGGTTCCTACTTCTTCCCCTCTGCTGGTGCCTCTGAAACCAGAGCTCAGTCCTTAGCAGGATTTCTGAGACTTGTTATATTCATTCCTAGCAAATTGTCCTTAAACTTGGCAAGGGGCAGCAAATTTCTCCCCTTTTGCCCTTATGTTCTCCCATCATCCCCTTCTCCCTTGTTGATGGAGAGTTCAAAGCCTGAGAGGCTTGCTGCTGGCTCTAGTTACGAGAGAAAGAAAGGGATCTCAAACAGAGGCCTTCAGAACAAGGGCCAAAGTCTTTCAGAGGCCTCCCCTGGTCATCTGAACTCTTTTGGCTTTTTTCAACATTTTCATTTCATGGGAAAACTCAGAAAGGTTTTGGTGGACTGGTGGAAAGCTGAAGGATGTTTCAGTAACTCTGAGGCACCCAGGCCTTTGGAGATGTTGGAAGCCAGCCCCCAATATGGCATCAGTTCATTCCTTTAAACCTCTTCTCATACTGAGCTGTTAATGATATGAAGGAAAGAAAAAGTTCTTTCTGTAAAAGAAGAGATTTATTTCTTTTCCAAGGATGCAAGACATTTCCTGTGCTATAGATGAACATTGGGATGTCTAATGTAAGTTGAAAAATCACTTTGGTTTAACATGCACTGCTAAATATGTATATGAAGAAATAAAGGTTACTGGCAGGATTTTGGACTGTTTTGGAGAGAAAATTAGGTGGATTGCAGGATTTATATCTCATTGTTAATAATGTAGAAGGATTCCTCATTTGTGTGGGAATACTTCAGTTTTATAAAGAGGTAGAGAAAGATCTTATTAATAACTAGAAAATGTGAATTTGAAGAAACACATTTTCTTGGGCACCAAAGGAACTGATTACCTTGTTGGAGACTTCAGAAGTATCATGGGTACTTCTGCTAATTTGCATAAATATGTTTTAGGACCACATATGTCTAAATAAAGTAGTCCTGAGACCCAAATGTTTGAAATCTGCTCTTTTAGTTTAAACCTGGATGGCAAATTTCAGCTCTCTTAGTGACAAAGGCAGTCCCTCACATAGCCTAATATGTTGACACTTTCTCTCCAAAAGGACAGGGATCTGTGTGCCATCATATTCTGGCCTCGTGGAGAAGAGGAGACAGGATGGAGATTTTAGAGGGGAGATCTATGTGTGAGAAGGAAGGGTAGGAAGAAGATTCTTTGGAAGGGCAGATATTTTATAACCAGGGACCCCAGTGTGAAAAAACCCAAACTCACTTGTTGGATAACTGTTGACTGGTTTCTGGCAGACCTCTCTCATTGTAGAGAGAAGCCATAGTACAGCTCAGCAGAGGAGGCCTTTGTCACATAGCAAACTGAAGTTTGGCTTTTCAGTTTAAGCTAAAAGAAGGAGAAGCAGGAGCCCAAGGATCTTGTTAGAGAGGAGCGTCTCAGCTGAACACTTCAGCTGAGGTCCTGTAGGTGGCCACAGTGAGCACAGCCCAGGGGTGAAAGAAAGGCAGGTGTGGACAGTCCAAGATTCGATGCTGCATCTCCTGGGGCAGAGGAGACGGGCTACCCAGTGAGAATTGAGGGGTGACATCACCAAAAAACATGGGCGGCCCTGCAGCAGGGGAATCATAGTATATCTTAAGGCAGCTGTCCTAGTCACCTGGGTTACCTATTCATATACTCTTCCAGTATACGAATTTTTTTCTCCATCTCTTGTCCTCCACACACAATGTTGCCACATGTGCATCCCCTACATGTTAGCCCCTAATGCATGATGTCCATGTGTGTCCACTCTTCCCCCACTGATCTGTATATTGGTGAGGGTTCATCTCCTGGGATCATGGAAAATTCTATGGCTATTTTTCTTACTATATTTTTTCATTAAATGCCTTTGCTTTGTACTAATTGTGTCCTGTGAATGACTAGTAAGAGTAAACATTGGGTTTAGGGGTGGAGCTTATGGCTTTGAGTGGCTGTGGGCTCATAGCTCCCTTGAAATAGGGAACTTTTCAGGAGGTACACATAGAGGTGCCCACAAGGGCCCTCTAGAAAAACTGGTGATCTTAGAAGAGTCAACTTCCCTCAAGATGCAGATCAAGTGTCACATTCTCCAATTTTGGTTTAGTATTGAAAGAATGATTAATGAAAGGCTCTGGTTGAAGGAGAGAGGAAAGACTATTTCATGCTAAAACTCATACACATGTACGCGCGTGCGCGCGCACACACACACACACACACACACCCCTAACCAGATTCAAAGAGTCAGGTTCCAAACTGCACTAGAGGCAGTGGGGTAGGTAAGAAGATGGTTTATTCTGATTGCCAGTATTCCAGGCCAGGCAGCAACAAGAAGAATGTAAGTGAGAGGAGGAGGCAGAATGGGGACATGAGGGAAATTTCAAAAAGGAGGGGAGGTTTGAGTGTGAGGAAGAAGAAGAAGAAGAAGGCTTTGTGAGAGAACAGATTTTGGCCAGGGTGCTCAGGGTGCGTGCTTGGCTCCAGGGCTGCAGAATTCCCACCCCTTCTTCTGGCTTGTCTCCTCTAGGCTTGGAACTTGCAGAGGTAGGGATGCTTTTCATTACAGAGTACATTTCTCCATTTCTGGAATCCTGCAGAGAGATGGCCTGGGTTAGGTTGTCCAGGGCAACCATCAGGAAATCATCCCATGCAGATGACTCAGACCTCATGCCCAGGGGTCTTATACTCATTCACGTATTCCCCTGTGGTCTAAAATAGAGAAAAGAGTAAAGAAGGGGAGGTGGGAAGTAAAAGTAAAAAAAGGAAAAGGTGGGAAGTAAAAAAGGGAAAAAAAAGTAAAAGTAAAAAAAGAAAGGCAAGAGGCAAACTGAGAGATTGAAAGGAAAGAAAGGAGAAGAAAGTTGGGAAAGGAGATATGGAGGAGAGGGTAGCTGAAGGAAAGATTAAGGGGAGAAATAAGAGAAGAGGGGAGGGAAGGGAAGAAAAAGGGAGGGAGGGAAGGAAAAGAGAGGAGAGAGGAGAATAGTGGAGAGAAGAAGAGAGAAGGGAGGGGAGAGGAGAGATACTTCCATATTTTAAGTGTGAGTACGCATCCAGCCAGGGCTTCAACCAGCAGAGAAGTGGAGGGAATGGGCCTGCATAGATACCAGACCTGCTGGGGTTTTGTTCTCTCACCAGATTCAGGAGTCAGTTTGGCACAGAAGCTGGGTTGGTCATTATATTAGGACCATTCTCCTCCCAGGCTTGGTAGAGGTATAGGGCCTTGCTGCTCCATTTCCATCTGCCATTCTGAGGAGAGACAACCAGGAAGGGCAATGGTTAGTGCAAAATGAGACTTTTGCCCAATGATTTTTCCCCTCCTCCTCCCCAGATCAACTACATACAAACTTTCCCCAGGCCCTCCAGAACATGCCAGGCTTCGTCTGCCCTCTGAGCCCTTCCATAAGCTGCCAAACCTGCTGTAATTTCTGAGCACCCTCCCTCCTCCCTTCCATAGCTTACCCCATCTAAAAAGTCAGGTAGATCCTCCCCCAGTTCACCCTTCCTCATTCCCTTCAGGGACCCTTTTGAGTCTCAGGTTCCTTATGCTTTTCTGCCCTGAACTCCCAGGGGAGTCTGGGTAATTGGATATTAGAGACTGTTCCCTAAATTCCTGCTTTCTGCTTTGTGATCTTGGATCACCACCAGAGTGGTCACTGAGAAGCTTCTCTGGGAGTGCTCAGGGCTGGGCACACCAAACCCGTCCATCTAACCAACTGGAATGGGGCAGAGGAGTAGCAGTAAGGATGGGGTGTGGGTGCTTTAAAATATTTTTGTGTGTAAATTTTTATGATCTTTTCTTTTTAAATTTTGAGTTCTATATTCTCTCCCTCCCTCCCACTCCTCCCCCACCCAATGAGAAGGCAATTGATATGATATCAATTATTCATATGAAATCTATGCAAAACACATGTCCATATTAGCCGTATGTCCCAAAAAGCAAGAAAAATAAAGTGAGAAAATTCTACTTCAGTTTGACTCAGAGTTCATCACTTCCCTCTCTGGAGGTGGAGAACATTTTTTTTTTATCATGAGACCTTTAGAATTGTCTTAGATCGTTGTGTAGATCAGAGTAACCATACCTTTCACAGCTGTTCATTATTACAACGTTGCTGTTACTATGCACAATCATCCAGCTTCACTTTGCATCAGTTCATCTGGGTCTTGCCATGTTTTTTCTGAAACCACCCCCCTCATCATTTCTGATAGTCCACTAGTACTTCATTACAGTCATATGCCACAATCTGTTCAGCCATTCCCCAATTCGTGGGGCTGGCAGTAGAAGGGAGCAGGTGAGCAACCTCTCTGGCCTTGGACACCTCACAGGTCTGCCCAAGATCTTCCTGCCCTCTAGGCACACTTCCTCATACACTTCCCAGGGGCCAATGGGAGAAGGAGCCTGAGCTGGTAGACTGGGACCAGAGCCCCCTCCCTCCTTCCTACTCTCACCCCTGGGACAGAGAGAGGGAGGAGCTTCGGAGTCACACCTGGTTAGTGTCATGCAGGCCAATCCAGAAAGGTTGCAGGCCAACCCTACTCTCAGTAATCATGGTGGCCACAAAGGAGGCCTCAGCCCCATTGAGCAGGGACAGCAGATGACCAGAGGGATAGTCTTGGCACAGCAACTGTGGGGAGAAGCAGGAAGGTCTGATGTCATTGAAGGAGGGAGACTGGGAAGATGGGCCACCTTAGGGGAGCTGCAGGTAACGGGGTGGTCAACAAAGGCAGGAGGAGAAGAATGAGGGTTTTGTAGGAGGCCATGTGCCTCCAGGGTCATAGTGGGATAAGGGTCTAGAGGTACATACAATGAAGGAACAGAGGAGGGGGGAAATGATTGGGAGGTAAGGAGTAGGGTTCACCTGGGGGACAATGAGGTGAGAGGACCCCTTCACCCCTCTTAGGGGTTCCTGTCCCCAACAAACCTCCACTGTGGCCCAGGTCTCTTCAGTAATCAATAAACCATAACAGTGGGAGCCATGAAAGGCAAAGCCCTCAGGGCAGGATCTCCTGGCAGAGGGAGGAGCAGGGGACTTCTCCTGGCCTGGGGGAGGGAGGAGAGGAGCTGCATGAGAAGGGACCTGGGCCTCCTGATTTCTGGGCCTGGATCCACAAAGCCTGATTACACTGTCCCCACTAGCCTTCATACCCACTTCTCCCCTTTCCTGCCTAACTGTCCCCCCCACCCTCCTACCGGACTCAGGTGTGAAGTCCTCAGGGAGTCACTGGGGGGACTCACTTTGTGCCAGGCCTGAGAGAAGCAGGCAGGTGACCATATCCCTGAGAAGCTGGGCAACAACATGGGAGACAGGGTGCGAAGTGAAGATTGGGCCTTTAGGTGTCCTTGGCCCTGAAATGAGGTTAGAGATGGGGCCTCAGAGCTTTAGAGAACCAAGACTTTGTTCTCCTGTTGTTCTTCACCCAGACCGCCCTACTCTGCCCTTCCACCTTGTCCCTTCCTGTGTTCTTGGTCAATATGATGACTCTGGGGGCTGGAAGGAATCTGATGGTCACTAGGAGATGGGAAGTGCCCACTCTTTCAGAGTTGTTCAGGGATGAGATCCTGCTAACACTTCTCCAGAAGCTAGTTCCCTCCCTGAGATAAAATGCCTCCTTCTTCTTCCAGTGATGGGATTGGTCTCACTGATCTGGATGAACTCACCCTCCCCAGGCCCTTCTTCTCCTAACTTACCAGGCTGGGAAGGTTTGGGGATGATGTGTCTGGCCAGGTCATGGCAGGGCCTTTATAGAGAGAGGACAAGCTGGGGGAAGGACATTGGCAGGGGTGGAAGAAGAGTACCCTAGGCAAAGGCAAAGAGGGGGAGTGAGAATCAGAATACGTGTGTATGAGGGACAGGGGGATTCCGGGCAAAGGGTGTGATCTTTCCCAAGGTAGGTTCAGGAGCTGGCATGAGCAACTCATTATTCCTGGAATACAAGGAAGGGACACAAGATTAGTTCTTCCCCAAAATTGACAGCTGCCTTCTTCCCATAGCCCTAAGAAATCTTGGGGAAGGTTGAGGGGTAGAGAGGTGGGCAGACTCTTATCCCAAGAGCCATCTCTCTGTCTGCCTCAGGAGGAGAACAACAAATGTTCTTGCAATGGTCTTCCTTTCCCCTTTTCCTGTACAGAAGACAGTGTGCAGCAGGGCAGACCTGTGTTTTGGATGAGGAAATCTCATGGATGTTAAAAGTCTCTTCCCTCCAGGAACTGTCCATGGTAGCCTCGAGCAGAAGCAAGTGGAAGTTACATGGGCTCAAACACAACTTTCTTACCCACTTGGGCTGAGATGAGAGTTACTGAGAGTGTACTTTACCAGATGATCTCCAAGGCATCCCCAGTCCCTGAAATCCAATCAGAAGTTCTCCCCTGTCCTCTCACCCAGACACCAATGGGGAAGCTCACATTCTTCGTTCAAGGTGCCTGTCTGATTCCAGCCTGGCCTGTTCCTATAACTTGTCCTCTCCAAAAAGGGAGAATCGGACCAAAATAAAGACACTGCATGTTGTACTGAGGATGGTTTGGGAATATGGCTTAGACTGCATGGTGGTCAAGTTCCTTTCTAATTCTGAAATTCTGTGGTTCTAGAATTCTGTCTTGGATATCATGTATAGTGTCTTTACTTCCAGTTAACCTTTACACTCCCAAAGGATGGGGGACATATTCTGTCTTCCCTGTAATCTGTAGGAATCTCAGCAATGAGTAGGTCACTCAGTAGTTGTTCAGTAAAGCCTTGAGGAATAAATTCATAAAGATAGGCTCTTACAGCAGGCTAGAGTAGAGAGAAGCTGGCCCTAACCCTGCAAAATATGTGTATGTACACATACACATGATAATCTATATTTGAAGAATCGAGTACCAACCACAGAGAACAAAAAAGGCAGCAGGGTGAGGGGAAGGACAGTTTATTCCATACGTGGAATTCTACAGAGAAATAGTTATGTTGGTCTGGGCTGACTGGGTCTGATGGCCCCTATTCTGATAACCTTGGCCTTTTGCCTTTTGGTTCTATACCCGTTCTTATGTAAGAGTGGGAGTCAACTGTATCAAATGAAACACCCTATCCAACTTAAAGCAGCTGTTTGAACCCGATGAGAACACTTCTATTGAAGTAACCGCTCAATCAAGTGCATTAGACTGGAAGTTAAAAGTCCTTGGTTATTTGAGAAGGTGTGAAATCCATTGAATGCAATGGAATGACGCCGAGCAGAAGGCGCATTGGAAAGAGACTTTTTGGGTCTTAGGTAAAACAGCAAGCCAGATCTGAATCCAGCATTGTGGTGTCTGGCCAGTATAAAGGAATGAGGAGCTCCAGCCAAGTCCCTGAGAGGAAATCCCTCGCTGAGAAAGCAAAGGACCTCTATCTTCTCCAGTCTCCCACCTCCTTGACTTGAAAAAGTATGAGGAGTTTGACTTCTCTTCAATATTCTACCAGGGTTTCTGGAATAATGTTGTTATACAGTCACTGCAGTTGTGTCTGACTCTGTGTGAGCCCATTTGGGGTTTTCTTGGCAAAGATACTGGGCTGGTTTGCCATTTCTTTCTCCAGCTCCTTTTACAGGTGAGGCAACTGAGGCAAATAAGGTTAAATGACTTGCCCAGGGTCACACAGCTAGTAAGTGTCTGAGGCCGGATCTGAACTCAGGAAGACAAGTCTTTCTGACTCCAGGCCCAGCACTTTGTGCACTATGGTGCTACCTAGCTGCCTGGAACAGTAGTGAGTAGCAAAGTCTGCATTAGGCACGGAGGACGTCACTGCATGTGCCTTTTCAGTTTGAGCACTCTTTTCCCTTGACTCTGTATGTACTTGGAGGAGAGGGTACTTATCCTTGGGTTTTTTTTTTCCTGTAGGGGAAGTGATTGGGACTGTTTTTACTATACCAATTTAATTTTTTAAAAATTCTAAAACATAACTAAGTCTGAATGTTTAATCGACATCAACTGATAATCATTGGAGGAAGTGTATCAGTAGGGGTTTGTGGAGGAGAATGGGAGGGAAGGAGAAAAGAGGGGAGAAGAGGGGAGGGGAGGGGAGGAGAGGGAAAAGAGCAGGAGAGGAGAAGAGAGAGGAGAACTCATATTCTAGGTAAGGAGGGGCCCCTGCGAATCCATGGCTTCAGCAAACACAGGGATGGAGGAAATGGGCCTGGCTGTTGCCAGAATTGTTGATGTCTCTCTATCTCTCTCTTTCTCACCTGAATCCTGAGTCAGTATTACACAATAGTTTGGGTTGGTTTGACTGGGGGCTCCCTTATCCCCCCAGGCTTGGTAGAGAAAAAGGCCATTGCTGGACCAGCGCCACCTGCGGTTCTAGGGGAGGGATCAGGTAATGCAGTGGTTAGTGAAGAGTGAGACACTCCCCAATCACCTATCCTCCAATACTCAAGACTCAACCCGACCAATCAACATTTAGTAAGGACCTACTATGTGCCAAACACTATGCTAAGCACTTGGGATACAGAAAAGGGGCAAAAGACAATCTCCGCCCTCAAGGAGCTTACAGTCTAATGGTGGAGATAACAGGCAAGCAAACATATACAAACAAGCTATATACCAGACATAATTCAGAGAGGGGAAGCACTAGAATTAAGAGGGGTTGGGAAAGGCTTCCTGTAAATGATGGGGCTTTAACTGGGCCTCAAAGGAAGCCAGGAGGCAGAGATGAGAAGGGAGAGCACCCCCAGCAAGGGGCACCACCGTGAAAAAGCCCGGAGCCCAGAGATGGAGCGTCTTGTTTGTGGAACAGCCAGGATGCCGGTGTCTCTGGCTCCAATTCCACTTCCTGCAAGAGGTCTGTCTTGGTCCCCCAACAGCCAATGCCCTTCCCTTCCAGATGACTTTCCATGTGTTCTGGAGAGCTCTTGCTTGGATTTAGTTATTTCCACATTGTCTCATCCATTGTAGTATGGGCTTTGGAGGGGGCGGACAGAGACTGTTTTTGCCTTTTAGCACAATTCCTAGGGGAAACTCAGAGTTGGGCAGCTGAATACACCATACATGCTAATTGAATCAAAAGCAGTGGGTGGAGTTCCTGTGGTGCAGATGGGAGGTGAATGCCAGGGAGGTGGGGGGGAGGGGCTGGATAGATACTACACAGGCTTGTCCCACCCCCCATCCTCAAGTCTCTCTGCCACTTGCAGGTGTCCTCAGGTTTCCTTCCCGTTCCCTCCCCTTTCCCAGGAGTCCAGACTTTTACTCTGGAAAGGGGAGAAAGAACCTGAGCCAGTGACTGGAATCAGACCAGCCCTTCCCCACCTGCTCTCCCCCCTGAGCAAGGAGAGGGAGGCACTTTGGGTCTCACCTTATTAGGGTCATACAGACCAATCCAAATGGGCTTCTCATTACTCTGACTCTCAGTGATCATGGTGGCCACAAAAAGTGTCTCAGCCTCATTGAGCAGGGACACGAGGTGACCCAAGCGGAAGTCTTGGCACAGCAGCTGTGGGAGAAGGCAGAAGGAGCTCGTGTCATTAGAAGAAGGAAAAAGGACATGAGAATACGGACTGCTACAGAGGTCAGGGTAGTCACCAGAGGCAAGAAAAGGCTGAGGGCCCTGAGAGAGGAACCTACTGTTCAGGACCACGGAGGGCTAAGAATGGCCCCAGAGGAAAATGTCTGGTTGTCACTTAGCAGAAGGGTCAGAGGTAGGGGAGAGTGGTAGGGAGTTCATTGTGAGCCATGTCTGAATTCTAGACTACATTAAAATGGTAGCTTCCCCCCTCCCCTCTCTCAGGGATGCCTTTCTCCAACCAGCTTCAGCAGTGGTCCAAGCCTCTTCCTGATGTATCAAGCCGTAGCAGTGAGAATTAAAGAAGCTAAAGCCTTCAGGGCAGGAGCTCCTTGCTGAGGGAGGATCAGAGGGGTCCTCCAGTCCTGGGAGAGGGAAGAGAGAAGGTGAATGGAAGACCCTGGCCTTCTCTGTGTGGCCTTGAATCTATGAAGCCCTGGAGATCCCAGCTGCCCATACTGACTTCTCTGATCCCCACACCCCTTCCCTCTAGCCCCTTCTCTTTTCTCCCATGGATTCTCCCAGGCCCAGGTGGGAAGCTCTGGTGGGACTCCCCTTGTGCCAGGCCTGTAAGGAGCAGGCACGTGAAAAGCAGCTCTGAGAAGTCAGGGGGCAGCATTACTTTGGAGCCTGAGGGTATAGAACAGAGCCCCTAAGCCCCATGGCACCCCTAGCCCGGAGGTCAGCCCAGAGATTGGGCCAGGGGTGGGGTCTCAGAGCATGTTCTCTCTTCCTTGAGGCTGGAACTGGGCTCTCTACTGACCCCTTCCTCCTCTCCTTTCCTGAGGTGTGGAGTATTCTGGTGACTCTGGGGGCTGGACAGAATCTGGTGGTAGCTGGGGTTAAGAGGGAAAGACCCTTCCCTTTCATAGTTGCTTAGGAATAAATGTCTGCTTTCATTTCTCTCCAAGCCAGCTGCCTTCCTGAGATGAGATGCCTCCTTCTTGCCTCTGGGAAGGGAATGACCTCAGTGTGGGGAGTGACTGATTTTCCTTTTCCAAGCCCTTCATCTCTCACTTACCAGATTGGCAGGGCTAAGGGATCATGTGTCTGATGTGGCAGTGAGAGGACTTTTACAAGGAGAGGGCCAAAAGGGGAGTGGCCACAGGCAGGGGAAGAAGAGAAGGTGATTAAGTAAAGACAGAGATGGGGAGGGTGAAGGTTGGAGCACATGTGTTAATGATGGGTAAGGGGGTTCTGGGCATAGGGCGTGGTTTTTCCCAAGCTGGGTTCAGGAGCCAGTACAAGCAGTGCCTTCTATCAGGCACAGAGGGACGATCATTTCTCCAGGCAGGGGCAGAGGGTTAGTACTTTCTCCAGTGGCTTCCAGCTGCCCCATTCCCATAGCCTTGGGAAACCTGAGGTAAGATGAGGAGAAGGAGGGAATTTACCCTGAAATGAATGAGTTTCCAGCATTATCCTGGTATGGGAAAAAGGAGTCTAGGAAAGGTGTGGGACCATAGATCTTGGAGCTAGAGAAGAGGATTCCTGCCAGTGGAGGCAAGGTTACAAGGCAACTTGACTGTGCACACCCCTCTAATATAAATTCTTGGGATATTTTAGACAAGAAAGAAATTGGAGAAGTGTTGGCAGGGCTCATTCAGTCACCAATACCAGACTAACAATTTTAAAGCTTGTTTTTCCTATCTTTTTGATGATGGGCTGGTCAGACATAAACTAAGGTGAACTTTTCAATATACAGAGAAGAAAGAAAGTGGGTTGTATATGCAACATGAAATTATGTCACCTATGGTTTGTTTTAATGTGTATTCAAATTAATATGATAGTGCCAATGCTGTCCTGTTCATTGCGTTTCCATCTACACTTCCTTCTCCCTTCAGTATATTTTTGAGCATTCCATGAACATCCTTTTCTCTTTTCTTTTATTATCATTACCTCTACACACTAATTCTCATACTTTGAAAGCCCTTCCTTTTAATAAATTGATATTGTCAAGCAAAATGAAGTCACAAGCTGACTATATCTCAAAATATGTGTCCCACCCCTATTACCCCCCTACCAATAGGTGGGTAATGCCTAGGAGTGATATGGATAAGTTAAAGGACATGCATAGCTTAGTGACTTCTGGGCTAAAATTCCAAATTGCTATTTGGAAGGGAGCTATGGCACTTTAAACATTATTTACTTATTTATTTTTTAGTTTTCAACATTCAATTTTATAAGATTTTGAGTTCCAAATTTTCCCCCTTCTCCCCTCTCCTCCCCCCCAATCTGCTATAGGCTATACATGTACAATCATATTAAACATATTTCTACATTAGTCATGTTGTGAAAAAAAGAATCAGAACAAAAGGGAAAAACCGAGGGAGGGAGAGAGAGAGAGAGAGAGAGAGAGAGAGAGAGAGAGAGAGAGAGAGAGAGAGAGAGAGAGAATAGTATGCTTCAATCTGCATTTAGACTCCATAGTTCATTCTTTGGATGTGGATAGCATTTTCCATCATGAGTGTTTTGGAATTGCCGTAGATCATTGTAATGCGGAGAAGAGCTAAGTCTATCAAAGTTGGGTCACTACATAATGTTGCTGTTACTATGTACAATGTTCTCCTGGTTCTGCTCACTTCACTCAGCATCAGTTCATGTAAGACTTTCCAGGTTTTTATGAAATCTGCCTGCTCATCATTTCTTATAGAACATTAGTATTCTATTACATTCATATATTGGAACTTGTTCAGCCACTCCCTAATTGATGGGCATCCTCTCAATTTCCAATTCTTTATCACCATAAAAAGAGCTGCTATAAATATTTTTGTACATATGGGTCCTTTTCCCTTTTTTATGATCTCTTTGGGATACAGACCTAATAGTGCTATTGCTGAATCAAAGGGTATGCACAGTTTTATAGCCCTTTGGGCATAGTTCCAAATTGCTCTCCAGAATGGTTGGATCAGTTCACAACTCCACCAACAATGCATTAGTGTTCCAGTTTTCCCACATCTCCAACATTTACCATTTTCCTGTTTTGCCATATTACTATGGCACTCTTTTAAAGGGCATTTTTATTGTTATCTTTTGTTTTTCTCTCCTCCCTTTCCCAGTGTACACCTCCTCCTACTCACAGAGAACCACCTCTTCTGACAAAGACTTTTTTAAAAAAGGTAGAAATCAGTTTAGCAAAACTAACCAACATATCAAAAAACTTGTGCTTTAAATACAATGTTTCTTACCTGTAGGTTCCCACCTCTGCAAAGGAGAAGAGGGGAGATATCTTTTTTCTTTTCTTGGGGCCAAGCTTCACATTATGATTTTTCATCATTCAGTTTTGATTGTTTGGTCATTTGATTTTGACATTATTGTAATTATTGCATATGTTGTTTTCTTGGCTCTGCTTACTTCATTCTGCATCAGTTCAGGCAAGTCTTCTTCTGCTTCTCTGTATTCCAACTCCTGCTGTGTCATATCCTGGCTAATCTCTAGCCTTCGGAGAAAAGATCAATGGTGAAATAGAGGCTCCCATCTGACTGCATGCTTTCTATGAGGTATTCACCTGGTCTCCAGCCTCCTTTGGGAAAAATGGTGGTCAATTATGAACATTGTCACTACATATCCCACTGATTCTGAACCCTTGTAGGTCATCTTCCAAAACCCAGTCCCCATTCCTTATTCCTATCCCCCTCAATCCTCCCATCCCAAAGTCCCAACCAAACACTACCCACCCTTTGACTATGCCCTCTGGAATGTCTTCTTCCAGGCATGAATTTTCCTTCATCCTAAAAATATTTTCTTTCCCCACTTCTTCCATCTTCTAGCTATTAGTGAAACCTGATTCCCCTCTAATGACACAGCTTCCCTGGTCACCCTTTCTAGTACTATTTACACCTTCACTTATTCCCCTTGGCTCACTGGTCAAGGCAGAAGAGTTGGAATTCTCCTTGCTCCCCATTGCTGCTTCCAGATTCTCCATCTCACAGCCCCTTAGCATGAGATTCCACTGCACCTCCTCTCCTTCAATACATCCCCACTCTACCAATTCTCTTCAATCTCTCCCTGTCTACTGGCTCCCTACTACCTACAAACCCATCCATGTATCTTCCATCCTCAAAAACCCCTCACCATCGCTTGATCCTTCTATTCCTGTTATCTATCTGTATCTCTTCTATGTCTCTAGTTTGTGTCTAAAGTCCATAAAAAGTCCACCTATGACAGGTGTCTCCCTTTTCTTTCCTCTCATGTTCTTCTTAACCCCTTACAATCTGACTTTGAAAAATTACCATCTACCAATATTGCTCTCTGCAAAGTTACCAATGATCTCTTAATTGTCAAATCCAGTGGCTTTTTCTCAGCCCTCATTCTTCTTGTCCTGTCTGAAGCCTTTGAAACTGTTGATCACCCTGTTGTCCTTAATTCTCACTTTTCTCTAGGTCTTTGGGACATTAGTGTTTCCTGGTTCTCTTTCTATCAGATCACTCCTAACCTTCCTTTGCTGGTTCCTCATCCAGGTCACACCCTCTTGCTATAGGTATCCCACAAGGTTCTGGCTTGGGTCCTCATCTTGCCTCCCTTTATACTACTTCACTTGGTGATCTCATCAGCTCCCCTGGATTTAATTATCAGCCCCCACAGATTTAATTACCATCCCTATGCTGACCATTTTCAAATCTACTTTTCCTGCCCTAAGTTTTCTGCTGACCTTCAATCTCATGTTTTCAACTGCCTTTCAGAAATCTCAGAATGGATGTCCAGTAGATATTTTAACTCAACCTATCCAAAACGGAACTTATTACCTTTCCCCCTAAACCCTCCTCCTTTCCAAACTTCCCTATTAAGGAAGTTGAGGGTACCACCATCCTCCCAAGACCTCAGGCTCACAACCTAGGTACCTCTCACTAACTCTAACTCCCTCCACATCCAACCTTTTTCCAAGATCTGTTGACTTAAACTTTGTAACATCTTTCAAATATACCCCCTTCTCTCCTCCGACACTGCCACCACCTTGGTGCAGGCCCTCATCGCCTTACCCCTGAACTATTGTAGTAGCTGCTGGGAAGTCTGCCTAGCCCTAGTCTTTCCCCACTCCAATCCATCCTTCATTCAGCCCCTAAAGTGATTTTCCTAGATGCAGGTCCAATCTTGTCATCACCACAACACACCCACCCATTCCATAAATTCCTATTGCCTCCAGGATCAAATACAAAATTTTCTATTTGGCATTCAGATCCCTTTAGGTCCTCACTACCTCCTACCTTTCCAGTCTTCTTTCATCTTATTCCTCACTACTTATTCTTTGATCCAGTGACAGTGACCTCGTTGCTATTCTAGGAACAAGACACTCCATCTCTCAATTCTGGGCGTTTTCTGTGACTAGCCACTGTCTATAATGCTCTTGCTCCTCATCTCCAACTTTGGACTTTCTTGGCTTCCTTTAAGTCTCAACAGGAAACCTTTCCCAACATCCCTTAATTCTCATGTTCTTCCTCTTTTAATTGTTTGCTATTTATCTTCTATATAGCTTGTTTTTATATATTTGTTTGCATGTTGTCTCCTCTATTAGACTGTAACTCCTTGAGGGCAAGGACTGTCCTTTGCTCTTTTTGTATCTCTAGCACTTAGCACAATGCCTGGCACAGTGTACATGCTTAATAAATACTTATTAACTGAATGACCCATTATAATATATCTAATAAGTGGCCATTTAGCCTCTGCTTGAATAATTAGGAAGGGTGCTGGAGGGAGCCATTAGTCCCTGGGGCAGCCCATCCTTTTTTTTGCATGGCTGGGTTTTTTTCCAAATTAAAACAAAATTTGCCTCTTTACAACTTCCACCCATCACTCCTGGGTCTGCCATCTCGAGCTAAGCAGAATAAAATAACTCTAGGGCATCATGACATCCCTAGAATTATTTCAATGTCAAGGTTTGCAGATATTCTGGGGCAATCTATGCCTTCTACAATTTTGTAGCTGACCTTGATGTTTTTTTCATCCTTGTTGAAGGCATCTGACAACATTGCTGAAAACATCATGCTAAAATGCATGGGAACAAGCACAGAGCCTTGCTTCACTCCACTGGTAACTGGGAAAGAGCAAGAGCGTCATCATGGGGGTACCCAAGGAGAATGCTATCTATCTGTCCCACTCAATATCGCTGGTCTAGGGCACAGTTTTCTTTAGTTCAACTCAAACCTTTGGAAAGCACATCTACACTGTATTAGGCACTCTGTGCTTAGAGGAGCTTCCTAAAGGGTTCAATGGAGCAGCCAATGGAAAGAGGATACTCTTAGCCACAGGGTGAGCTGACCCAGAATGCCTACTCAGTGTCGATCCTGTCTCCCAGGAGTAGGTCCCAAATGTCTTAGATAACTCTGCCTTGGGTGGTCTGTGCATGTTCCAAATTGCTGTAATATCAGTGTCGGTGCTTTCCAAACACATTTTACTATTGCAAGTCACCTTTTTTTTTTAAAACAACTGTCTTTCACATGATCCCTTATCTCATAATGAACAACATCATCAGATGTCTCAATTAATAGGCCATCACTTTAATGACCACCTACTCATGTACTCTACGTGATGCAGTGCCCGGCACACAGCAAGTGCTTAATAAATGCTTGTGCTACTACCAGGCATTTTAATCCCTATTAAGCAATTCTCCACAAAGCATCATTTAAGCCAAATACATGTGGGAAGCAGCCACCTCATTAAGAGAATTATTTGAAAAAAAAGGCAACTCTCCCCACCGCCATCGTGATGAATTCGCTACTGATTTGCTGAATGCCAGTGATTGCCCCATATATAATGGCTGAACTACAAACTGTCCATATTGTTATTTCTTTGTATTTCCCATTCCACCCCCACCCCACAGTTTGCCTGGGCATGGAGGCAGTCATTAACGTATTTTAACAATCCTGCTAACATCCAAAGACCACCAAAAATCCCCAACTGGGCTTTCTGAATGACAAAAGACTTTGAGTTAAGATTGATTGGGACACATCTGTGTGAACCACAAAATTATATCCTTAGCTACATCAAGCATCCACATCTTACTCCTACATGGGACCAATTTCTCTGACCACAGATCTCACTTTCCTCAAGCATTTTTTCCCTCCCAACACAGCAAATGTGAGACTTAGGAATGTAACTAATAGCAATGTTTCATTTTAGGAAGCTCAGAACTGGGTCATTTGGCCCTTTCTCTTCTTGTCTCTTCCCAGTCCAAAATGCTTGCATCTCTTATTGGCCAGCATCCTCTTAGATTGACAGTTGGGTTTGACACATGCAAGCCTGAGTACAATCTTCTTTGTGGTCTTGGCTTTTTGTTCCCCTCTTAATTGCCTTTCTCCACCATAGCAACTCAACTTCCATTCATAACGTCTTTGCCCCCAGACATCTAGGTGGCACAGTGAATAGAGCACTGGCCCTGGATTCAGGAGGGCCTGAGTTCAAATCCAGCCTCAGACTCACAATACTTGCTAGCTGTGTGATCCTGGACAAGTCACTTAACCCCATTGCCTAGCCAAAAAACAAACAAACAAACAAACAAACACCATAATGTCTTTGTCCTTAAGCCCCTCTTTAACTGCCTTCTTTGTGAGCTTGGTGCTTGCTTTACTTCTTTAGTGAGTCCTGGGGAATGCTCACCAGATTGGTAGTAACAACATCAGCCCCAAGAGAGATTGAGGGACATTAATCTTTAGGTTCAATAGATGTTAACATCTTTCATTGCTGTCCGTTAGAGGAGGGTATCCTAAGGTTACATCCATTGGCTTGGCCCCTTCATATCAAATGCTACCTACTAAAAAAAAACACACACACACATCACAAATAGTAAACAGTGAGTAAACACATTTATCCAAATAGATTGTAAATGGAAATAAAAGAAGTCAAAAAAGAAAAAAAACCAGAAAACTCACAAAACAAGCCTAAAAACTATACTCATGTACTTTCTGCTTTATTCTAAAATAGTAGATATATACACATATATTAGAATAAAGCAGAAAATACATGAGTGTATTTTATAGTATATATTAGAACATTTTATAGCTGAAAATGTGTGAATATATGAGTTCATTAAATGGTAATGAGATAAGATCTTGCTCAACTAAGAGAGAGGAGCCTTAATCTCACCTAATAAGAAATTCCCCATAATCTCCAAGGAGGCGAGTTGGAAATCAGAGAAAGTTGAGGTGCTGAATTCCTCTATATGTTTGCCTTCCAAAGTCTGTCTCTATCCCTCCAGATATTTCTAATTGGTCCCCTCAAAGGCCTAGAATCATTTGTGCCCTCTCTCTAAGAATGAATCAAGAATGTCTCTCACCGGGAATGAGTGAATCTTATTCTCATAGGATTTGGCTTGAGGAGGGAATAACATACACATTCAATTGGATATGGAAGTCTGTCTTACCCTACAGTTTACTAGGGGGTGAAGGGGACAAGAGAGCAGGGGGATGATAGAAAGGAGGGCAGATTGGGAAAGGGGGTAATCAGAAGCAAACACTTCTGAGGAGCGACAGGGTCAAAAGAAAGAATAGAATAAAGGGGTGGGCAGGATAGGATTAAGGGAAATAGAGTTAGTTTTTCACAACATGTCTACTATGAAAGTGTTTTGCATAACTGCATATGTATAACCTATATTGAGTTGCTAGCCTTTTCAGTGAGGGTAGGTGGGGAGGGAGGAAGGGAGAAAATTTGGAACCCAAAGTTTTAAAAACACATGTTTAAAAAAAATCTTTTCACATGCAACTGGGAAATAAGAAATGCAGGAAATGGGGTACAGAAGCCTATCCTACCCTACAGGAAAATAGAAGGGGAAGGGATAAGAGAAGGGTGGGAGAGATAGAAGAGAGGGCAGACTAGGGGAAGGGCTATTCAGAATGCATGCATTTTGGGGTGGGGGGAGGGGCAAGATGGTGTGAAAATTTGGAACTCAAAATCTTGTGGAAGTAAATGTTGAAAACTAAAAAATAAATAAATTTATATTAAAAAGAAAAAGACTGTCTCTCACCTCCAATGCCCTTCAACCAACTCTGCCCCTCCCCCAGTGATGCATCAGCATTCTCTCCACCATTCTGGTATAGGTTCATGTGGTAGCACGCAGCCCCACCCTTACCCAACTTGGTTAGGAGTTGAGTTAAATGCACATGAATGAGTTTTAATGCACTGGCTAATTTCTCTCTCTTCTAAACTCCTCTAAGAGATTATATTCATTGATTCATTCAGGCTTACTGAGAAGCTGCTCAGTATTCAGTAGGTGCTGAGAACCCAGAGGACTCAAAATAAAGAAAAGTTTTCTACAATAGGAGCTAGCTGTTCAACTATGGAGGGGTCTGCCTCACAAAGGAGTCAAGTCAACCAGCATTTGTGAAGTGCCTGCTATGTGCCAGCCACTGTGCTAAGGGCTGGGGATATAAAGAAAGGCAAAAGACAGTCCCTCCTCTCAAGGAGCTCATAGTTAAATGGAAAAGTGAGCTCCCTATCATGGGTTGATAAATGTCGAGTTGGAATGGACCTCACTTTAAAGATGAGGCAATCGGGCCAACAGAGATAAAGTGATTTGCCCAAAGTCACATAGTTAATGAGTGACAGAGTTTGTATTTGACCCAGGTCCTATCCCTAAGACAGCAATTAGAGTTAGAAGGACCATAGAGATATAGTCCAATCTGCTTATTGTAAAGATGAAGAAACTGGGGTCTAGAAAGGCTGGGTGACTTGCCAAGGTTCACATAGATAGCAAGCTGCTGGGCTGAATTTGAATCCAAAGCCTCTGATCTTGAACCATCCCTCCATCTGCTATGCCTCACTGTTCTAGATCAGAGCCTGGGTTACGCCTGTTAGGGATATCATAGGTGGGAGAAAGGGTGGAATACTGGAATACCTTCCCTCTAACCATAAAGCACCATTCCTGGCCCATAGGAAGCTCTATATAAATGATTTTGGTTGTTCTATTCAGTGGTTCAGTCGTGTCCAACTCTTTGTGATCTCATGGATTATACCATGCCAGGCCCTTGTCTCCTCCACTGTCTCCCAAAGTCTGTCCAAGCTCATGTTCCCATCCATTTAAGTTCACTGACATCCAAGAAGTCAATGCTGAAGCTTTCTATCTCCTGTTTGACCACATTCTGTTTGTCTTGGTTCACAGATCTTACATTCCAGGTTCCTATGCAATATTGCATAGGCAGCTAGGTGGTGCTGGGCCTGGAGTCAGGATGCCTTATCTTCTTGAGTTCAAACCTGGTCTCATACACTTAGCAGATGTAAGACCTTGGGCAAGTCACTTAACCCTGTTGGCCTCAGATTCCTCCTGAGTTGGAGAAAAAAATGGCAAACCACTCTAGTATTTTTGCCAAGAAAACCCCAAATGGGGTCACAAAGAGCTGGACACAACTGAACACACACACACACACACACACACACACACGTACACTATATTCATACTTACAGCTTCAGACATTCCTTCCATCACTAGACACACCTTTCAGCTTTAGCCCAGCCACTTCATTAGTCCTGGAACTACTTGTAGTTATCCCCTACTCTTCCCCAGTAGCATGTTTGACAACTCCTGACCTGAGGGGCTCATCTTCTGGTGTCATCTCTTTTATCATTTTTAGTACTGTCCATATAGTTTTCCTGGCAAAGATACCGGAGTGATTTGCCATTTCCTTCTCCAGCTCATTTTACAGAAAAGGAAACCAAGGCAAACTGGGATAAGTGACTTGCCCAGGGTCACACAGCTAGTAAGTATCTGAGGTTGGATTTGTACTCAGGTATTCCTGACTCCAGGCCCAGCACTCTGTCCACTGTGCCTCCTAGCTGCCCATCACAGACATGACCCCTCCACAAAACTCAGTTCATTCTACTCATTGACTTCCCCAAACACATCACCTTTACCATCTGACACCTTTATTCATGGCGTTTTCCACTTATTTCCACCTAGCTCATCCTACACAACATGAAGGTCATCATCATCATCATCACCACCATCATCATCATCATCACTAACATCTCTATAGCACCTCGAGATTCACAAAGCATTGGGAATAATAATAACAATAATAGTTATAGCTAACATTTCTCTGATGCTTACTATGTTCCAGGCATTATGCCAAATGCTTTACAATATTATCTCCTTTGAGCTTCATAACAATCCTGGGAGGTAGACACTATTATTATCCCTATTTTACAGATAAGGAAACTGAGGCAGACAGAGATCAAGTGACTTGCCCAAAGTCACCCAACTGGCAAGTATCTGAGGTCAAATTTGAACTCAGGTCTTCCTGACTCTGGGCCTAGCACTATCAACTAGGCCACCTAACTACCCTCTACATTAACTCATTTTATCCTCATAACAGCCCTGTGGGGTAGATATGCTATTATTGCTATTTATATGCTATGAAGAAACTAAGGCTAAGTGACTTGTCCAGGGTCACACTACTAAGCTTATAAATGTCTGAAGCAGGATTTGAACTCAGGTCTTCCTAACTCCAAGTCCAACAGGTCCCATCTTCTACCTGAAGCCTTTCTTGACCACCCATAGCCCACAGGGATCTCCCCTTCCTGTGAATTCAAGCAAAATAGACATAGAAGACATTCAGTTGGGGAAGCCAGATTTATTTTGATGTATTTAATACTCTGAAGCCCACATAGAAACTTGGGTGAGAAAGGAAGGGAAGGGAGAGATTGGGAGAGAAAAAGGGAAGGGAGAGGGAATGGAGGGGAAAGAAGAGGAGAAGAGATGGGACAGAAGAGAGGAAGAGAGGGAAGAAAATGGGGAGGAGAAGGGAGAGAAAATGAGGGAAAGGAAGGGGAGAAGAATAAGGGGGAGGGAAGAGGCAGGAAAGGAAAGGGAGGGTGAGGAAGAGGAGGAGAGGTGTCTTGGGGAGGGCAGAGGCCACCCCCCTGGTCCTCTGAGTCCACTCCTAGCTCCTCTGTGACTTCATGATCAGCTCCCTCCTCCCTCCAGCCCCCACTCTAGGCTGAGAACTTGCAGATAAAGGGGAGCTCCTCATTACAGTGTTGATTCTTCCATTGTAGAAACCCTGAAGACAAAGAGAAAAGGGAAAGTGGTCCCCACCCTAGTGGCCCTCGACCTCAGGAGCTGCATGACCCCACAAGTGGAATATAGATTTATGACCTGCAGAAGAAAGATTTGAGGAAGGGAGGGAATAAAAGGAGTGAGCAAGAGGGAGAGGGAAGAAGAGTCCCTTTAGCAGCTTCAACTCACCAAGTGTCCTGTGTGACTTAGGGGAAGGGGTAGAACTGAAGGGAAAGGGTTTTTTTCCTCTCACCTGAGCGTGGAGACAGACTCACACAGAACTTGAGGGTGGTTTTAGTGGGGGCTCCTTTCTCCCAGGTAACTAAAGTCAGTGTGGCATTGTCACTCCAGCGCCAGCAGATGTTCTGAGGAGGGGAGTCCAGAGGCAATGTCAGAGGACATTGAGTCCCACCCGCACCTGTACAAAAATCCCCTCTGGCAATCACCCAACAGATAGACAACATCATAATAAAGGCAACCTGCGGTATAGTGAAGAAAATACTAGAGTCAGAAATAACTAAATTTGAATCCTGCCTCAGATACATGCAGGCTGTGTGACCTTGGGCAAGTCACTTGACTTCTGTCTGCCTCAGTTTCCTCATCTCTAAAATGGGGATAATAATAGCACCTACCTGTAAGGGTTGTTATAAGGATCATATCAAACACAATGAAGAAAGCACTTGGCAAACCTTAAAGTGATATTATTATTATTATCATTGCTAGCTATTATTATTATCATTGATTTCAAGTCAGAAGGTACCTGAGATCACCTCATCTACCACCTCTAGACTCAGAAATATTACTAGCCCAAGGTCACGCAGGTTACAGTGGCAGATTTGGGATTTGAACCCAAGTTCTCTGACTTCCAATCCAGGACTCCTGCCTTACATTCTGATACCTCCCATGACTATCAGCCTCTTTTTGAAAACCTCCAGCACAGGGGAACTGGAAGTAGCCCATCCACTTCCGTTCCCCTTCTCCCAAGTAAACCCAAAGGAACAACCATGATTGGTGCTGAACAATGGGTCTCTGCATGGGATGGCCTCATGGTGAAGACTGAGGACAGAGAAGCAGCACTGGGCATGACCATGGGCCCAGGAAAGAAGGTCAGACACCCCACGGAATATCCTCCTAGCCTCAGGGGCTCTTCCTTTCCCCCTGTTTCCCTCTTCCTCAATTCAAAGAGAGGAGATAGACAGTAGATGGGGGTGGGTGGGGAGAACGAACCTGGGAGGGGTCGTGAAGGCCAATCCAGAGGTGACTCCGATTCTCTCCTAAACTCTGAGTGGCCAGGGCAGCCACAAAAGCAGCTTCTGACTCATTCATCAAGGACAAGAGATGACCTGAGGGCAGGCTCTGACAGTTCAGCTGTGGAGAAGAAAAGAGGGCACATGGAAGGGGTGGGGTGAAGAAGAGGCAGAGGAGGGTTCACCACCCTGTGAGGATCTGTGGCAGGAGGGAAGGGTGGAGGAAAGGACAGCTAGGGAGATTAGAAAAGACAAGGACTGGGGGGGCTTGGGGAGGTCCTGTCCTTACAGAGAAGGCCACATGAGGGCAGGTGGGAATGGGGGGGAGGATTGAGGATCTCGATAGGACAGGAAAAATACATGGATGACATCTGGGTCAGATTAGGGGGTGATGAAGGTGGCATCTCATCCTCATACCATGGCATTGACCCAAGGAACCCTGAGGCAAAGAGGCAAACACCCCCACCCACCCACCTGGTACAGGGTTTGCTGTAACCACACCCAAGCACCTCTGCAGAGTTCCAGGTCTTTGGTTGTTGGAATATTCCATAGCAATAGGAGCCATAGGTCTTGGATCTTTCTGGGCAGGAGATCTGCAGGGGAGTGGTCCATTTGGAAATCTGGCCTGAGGGCAGAGGATAGAAAGGAGCAAAATGAGAAGTGGGGAGTCCTGCTAGGGGCAGGGGATGCGGTCAGAAGGAATCCCACCAATGAGGCCCCTGAATTCTCTCCTCTCTGATTCAGAATAGGATCGGAGGTTCTAAATCTGGAAGGCTCCTTGGAGCTCTTCTATGCAGAACCACAGAATCCCCTCTGTCTGCCTCAGTTTCCTCAACTGTAAAATAGGAATGATAATGCCTATCTCTTAAGGTTGCTATGAGGATCAAATGATAAGATGTGTGTGTGTGTGTGTGTGTGTGTGTCTATGTATGTATAAAGAACTTAAATATTCCTGGAACATAAGAGGTGCTCAATAAAAGCTCATTGTGTGACCTTAGGCAAGTGATGTTGCCTCTCGTAGCCTCAGTTTCTTTATCTGTAAAATGAGAAGGTTGGACTAAGGTCATGAGACCATAGATTTCAAGGGGGAGGGGTCTGTAGAGACCGTCTAGTCTAACCCCTAAATTTTACAGATGGGAGACCCAGCACACAGAGAGGTAAAGGGATTTCTCTACGGTCACACAGGTAAGTCTGTGACCGCTGATGCCAATGCCAGCACTATTTTCATGGTCACCTGGTTGCATCACATCACGTAGGCACTCAAACTGAGCCCAGTGGAACCCGTTTTCTCTGCCTGGCTTTAGTAGTAGATAGGAGAGGGCAGGGAGCATATCACCACTGTCCAGGAGTGACTCACCCAGGACCAGATCTGGGAGCAGCGTGCAGCACAAGAGAAGCCTGCAGAGGCTGGGGAGACAGCATTGTGTCTATAGAAGTAGAGAAGACCCTGAGACCCTGAGAAGCACTGGACTCTGAGGGCAGCCAGGGTGAAGGAGAGGACTGCAGAGATCCTATTCCTCCCTCTTCTCTTCAGGGGTCCCTTCTACCAACCCACCCCTCTTACTGCCCAAGGTTTTCAGCCTCCCCTTCCCTGGGCATGGGGAAATCTGGAGATCTGCGATTTAGAGAGATCCCAGGGCCCCTGGAGCAGGTCCAGAGCTGCTGTAACCTTACCAGGAGGGATGCCTCTCCTAAGTAGGGGAGGATGGTCCCTATTCCTGGAATGGTCCTCCCCTCCAATTTCCCCACTTACCATTTGGCTAGTGCCTGGATCAACATATCCAGCCAGGGCCTGCATGGGCCTTTATAGAGAGAGAGAAGGGTAAGAGTCTAGTGGAAGAATAAAACAGGAGGGAATGGAAAGGGGAGGATGGGGTGGCCAGGAATTAAGACTGGTCTCTTCCCAGAAAGAGAAAGTGCTGGCATGAGAAATATTTGCTTCCCAGAAGAGCCAGGTCATAATTTCTCCCAGAAAGTAGACCAGGAAGGTCGTTTCCCAGGGGATCTCAAATGTTCCTTTCCCATGGCCATGGAACAAGGTGCCAGAGGTGAGTGAGTGCACAGCGAGGACCCAAGAACTGAACATGGGAAGGACGAGCACAGAGAAGAAGCTGGGGCATCAGGGGCAGTGGGAACCAAGAGATAGAAGCCTGGAGGCAGGAGGAAATGACAGGTGGGAGCACGAGAATCTTCAAGGTTTGACACCTGAATACAACCATTGCTACCCATCACTATGATGCTGTTCCATATCTACATCATGCTTTTGGCCCTCCTACCTTTGTAGCATGTTTTCAAAATCACAGCATTTCAGATCCGGAAGGCATCTTAATGCCATCTTGTCCCACCCCCGTCCAAATGAGAGTCCCTTTTATAGTCTGCCTGAGAGATGGTCATCTGGCCTCTGCTGTAAGACATCCAGTGAGGGGGCACCCACTCCCTCCCAAGGAAACCCACTCCACTCTGCAATAAATCTAAGTGTTAGGGAGTTCTTCTTGACATCTAGTTTAAACTTACCTCTACAGCTTCTCCCCCGAGGTCAGGATCATACAGCTAAGTATCTGAGGCCAGATTTGACCCAGGTCTTCCTGACTCCAGGCCCCAGCAGCCACCTCAATAGGAAAGGATAGAAATAGGCTAGGAAGGGACATCTTTGGTAGGCAATGAACAGAAGGAAACCGCCTAACATTTAGTGCCAACTCTTCTGCTGGTAAATGCTCAGGGTACATGGAAAGGTAAGAGGATCAGTCACTGATACGTGTGTACTAAGATTCCTTCCAGTTCTACCAGGATGGTAAATAGGTCACCCCCAGGGATGGAAAATGAAAAGTCCATATTTAGAATCACATCATTCAGAACTGGGTGGAAGCTCAGAGATCATCTAATTCCTACTTCTGGCAAGAGGAGGACACTGAATCCCAGAAAGTCAGTGTGGTCTAACCCAGGGAGCCCAAGACTTGGAGACAGCAAGACACGGGCTCAAATCCAACAAGCCATCTTCTATTCAGCTGCTGAGGGGAAGAGTGGGGGAAAGAGAATAAGCATTGATTAAGTGCCTACTAGGTGTCAGGTGCTCTACAAATATTATCTCATTTGATCCTCACAGCAACTCAGCAAGGTTGGTGCTATTATTATCCTCATTTTACAGTTAAGGCGACTGAGGAAGACAGATTGAGTGACTTTTCTAGGGTTGCACAATTAGTAGGTAAATGAGGCTGGATTTGTACTGGTGTCTTCCTGACTCCAGACCGGGTGTTCTATCCATTTCCAACACCTAGACGCCAAGCTGATTTCCCTAAAGTATAGTTCTGATCCTGTCATACACACACCACCCCTGCTCAAAGAGCTCCAACGGCTCCCGATTACCTCCAAGAACAAATATAACTCCTCTGTGTAACCTGGTCCCTTGCTACCTTTCCAGCCTTCTTACCCTTTGCTCCCCTCCATAAACTCTACCATCCAGCTGCACAGGCCTCCTTGCAGTTCCTAGAGCAAGATGCTCCATTTCCCAGGAATCTCCCACCTCCATGCCTTTGCCCTGGCTGCCTCCCACTTCAGGAATCTCTGCCCCACCCCTCAGCTGCACCTCTCAGTTTCCTTGGCTTCCTTCAAGTCCCAACTCAAATCCCACCTTCTTCAGGGCTCCTTCTTGGTCCCCACTACTTCCCAAGCTGCTGATGCCCCCTCCTTTTGAGATGGACTTCATCTTCTCTGTATAGATCCCAGCTCTTCATATGTTTTCTTCCCCATTAGAATGAGAGCTCCTTGCGGGCAGGGGCTGTATGTTTGCCTTTCTTTGTGTACAGTGCCTGACACTTTGTAAGTGTTTAATAAATTCTCGTTGATTGATTATTAACTCCACGACTGTGTATAAATCAGCTCATCAAAGTCTCAGTTTCACTATCTGTAAAATAGGGATAATAATTCTAGAAGTATCTTTCTCTCCAGTGATTTTTGTGAGGTTCAGATGATAAATAGCCTAGGAGAATTTGCCTCACCCTGTTGCCTCTGTGGGATAATCTGGCCTCAAGGAAATGGTTCAGGGAGAAAGAGTGATGTCCCTGGCACAGGAAGAGGACTCCCCGCCCCTCTCTTTCCCCTCTTTGTGATAGGAGCAGGACCTGCAAGGCAGGATGAAAACTTGCTGTCTGCACTGAGTGCTTTTCTAGGCTTCCCTGCCTCTCTCTCTTGTTTCAGATTCTGACTTCTAGAGGAAAGATGGAAGCCTTGATGGGAGAAGGAGGGGGAGATGGAGGATGAGAGGGATGCTGGAATGTTTGGGGGGCCACACTATGCCTGCCATTACCCAAAATCAGCTGAGCAACTGCAGCTAGTACCAACCCTGTGCCTAGTGAGTAGTAGCTATGTTGGTGGGATAGGGGGAGGATTTAAACTCCTCCGCTTTCTGTTAATCCACAAGGCAGGATTTTAACTCAGGTCTTTCTGACTGCAGGCTTGGCATTCTGTCCACCATGCCACCTAACTGCCTAAAGACTCATTTTCCTGAGGTCAAATCTGACCTCAGATACTTACTAGCTGTGTGACCCTGGGCAAGTCACTTAACCCTGATTGCCTCAGTTTCTCTCATCTATAAAATGAGCTGGAGAAGGAAATGGCCAAGAAAACCCCCAATGGGTTCACGGAGAGTCTGACACAACCAAACAACTTCCGTAGGTAGATGAATAGTTCGGATAGAATGCCACCTGATGGCCAAACCCTGACATGACACTCTGAACGAATTCAAACGCTTGGAGATTGTGATCTGTGCGACCACAGGTAGCACAGGCTGAGATGAGTCCATCATAGGCATTTATTGCCACCAAGCTATTGTCCCCATGTGGATATCCACTTGTGGGTGCAGTAACAAGGTCACAGAGATGACTTAAAATGCTTTCTGAACTTTTGAGGATTCACTATGTGAGGCTATTATTATTAAGTAATAAGGACACATGGGAGCAGAGCCCAAGTCCTTTCCCTCCAAATCTAGAATCCTTTCCATTGTAATTCTCCATCTCTTTCCTCATCTATAAAATGGGAGAGTCAATTCCATTCCGTTAAATTCAATGCCCACTTATCAAGAGCTTATATGCCAAATATTATCTCATTTAATCTTCACAACAACCCTGGGAGGCAGGAACTGTTACCATCCCCATTTTACAGAGAAGGAAACTGAGGCAAAAAGAAGTTAAGTGATTTGCCCAGCTAGGAAGCACCTGAAGCTGGAAGCTGGATTTGAACTTGGGTCTTCCTGATTTGTTTCTCACCTCATGTTCGTGTGTTATCGTAGAAGCAATAGGAAATCACTGAAGCATCTTTTTAAAAAAAATTATTTAGTATTTTATTTTCCCTCGGTTTCATGTAAACATAATTTTTAACATTTATTTTTAAAACTTTAAGGTCCAAATTCTCTCCCTTCCTCCCTCCCCCCCCCCCGTTGAGAAGGCAAGCAATTCAATATAGGTTATACATGTGTAGTCATGCAAAACATATCCATAGTAGTCATGTTGTGGAAGACTAACTGTATTTCCCTCCATCCTATCCTCCCCCCTATTTAAGCTATTATCTCTCCTTTGTCCCTCCTCAAATTTTGTTTTGCTTCTGACTACCCCTTCCTTCAATCTGCCCTCCCTTCTATCACTCCCCTTCCCCCTTACTTTCCTGTAGGGTAAGATAGATTTCTATACTCAATGGAGTATGTATGTTATTCACTCTTTGAGCCAACTCTGATGAGAGTAAGATTCACTTACTCTCTCTCACCTCCCACTTCTTCCCCTCCACTGTAAAAGCTTTTTCTCACCTCTTTTGTGAGATAATTTACCCCACTCTACCTCTCCCTTTCCCTTTCTCTTAATTTTCTTCTCTCATCCCTTAATTTTATTTTTCAGATATTCAACTCACACCTGTGCCTTCTGTCTATATATACTCCTTCTAACTACCCTGATAATGAGAAAGGTCTTATGAGTTACAAATATCATGTTTCCATGTAGGAATATAAACCGTTCAACTTTAATAAGCCCCTTATGATTTCTCTTTCCTGTTTACCTTTTCATGCCTCTCTTGAATCTTGTATATGAAAGTCACATTTTCTATTTAGCTCTGATCTCTTCTCAAGAATGCTTGAAATTCCTCTATCTCATTGAATATCCATTTCCCCCCTCATGGATTATACTCAGTTTTGCTGGGTAGGTGATTCTTAGTTGTAATTCTAGCTCCTTTCCCCTTTGGAATACCATATTCAAACCCCTGCAATCCTTTAACGTATAGGCTGCTAAATCTTGTATTATCCTGACTGTGGCTTCATGATAAGGGAATTGTTTCTTTCTGGCTGCTTGCAATATTTTCTCCTTGACCTGGGAACTCTGTAATTTGGCTATAGTATTCCTGGATTTTTCCTTTTGAGATCTCTTTTAAGAAGTGATGGGTAGATTTTTTTTTCAATTTCTACTTTACCCTTTGGTTCTAGAATAGCAAGGCAATTTTCCTTGATAATTTCTTGAAAGATCATGTGAAGACTCTTTTTTTGATCATGGCTTTCAGGCAGTCCAATAATTTTTAAATTATCTCTCTCCTGGATCTATTTTCCAGGTCATTGTTTTTCCAACAAGATATTTCACATTGTTTTCTATTTTTTCATTCTTTTGGTTTTGCTTGGTGATTCCTTGATTTCTCATGAAGTTATTAGCTTCCATTTACTCCATTCTAATTTTTAAGGAGTTATTTTCCTCAGTGAGCTTTTGGATCTCCTTTTCCATTTGGCCAGTTCTGCCTTTTAAGGCATTCTTCTCCTCATTGGCTTTTTG